GTCTCGAATGCTATAGCTAATTATGTTTTAAGAGAAAGAGGGGGAACTCGCCTTCATTATAACACACCATTTAAAACCGTACGATCCTCAGAGAAATATATGACTGCTAAACAAAGCATGATTTGATTTTAATTTTTTCTTAAAAATACTGCCACTGAGTTAACTTACAGGAATCCACTAGTAAATTTTCATCTGCTGTGCAACAAGCTAGGACGCTAGCTCTTGGACATCGAAGCTCGGAGTTCTCTGCCACGAGAGCTGCCTCAAAACAGTTGGTCGATTCCACGGCCTGTCCAGTTTCGCAGCATTCACAGCAAGACGTAAAGGTATTGTCAATAAGGCAATAGGAAATGGCGTCGGAAGTGACCCGATCTTCACAAGTAGACCCATCAACTATGAATCCCCTCTCACAACACATGATCTCTGAAATTAGATTTTACATTTTTTTAAAAGGACTTTAAAACGTACACAGCTGGCCAGACCTTTATGTAGTTAAAATTTAATTCTCCTGAAAATACGTACCACCAAGTTTCTGTTCGAAATGAAGAAAGGGTTTCCGTTTGTCACCATGGCATACCGTATCCTTAAATCCTTGAAAGACCTGTAAACCCATTTCATCTTCTAAATTTCTCACTGTTGGCGTCACTAGCGTACTTCATCAGTTTATAACACTATTACAAGAGTGGCCCACAAACTAGAAACTTAAAACTAAAAAATGGGATGACGAATATTTGGCCGATATGCAAATAGTTTTGTACGTGGTATAACTTGTTGACTAAGAACAGAGTGTCTGTATATATGTTTATATTCTGATATTGTTTGTATACATTGTCTGTATATATGTTTATATTTTGATTGTTTTATGTTCTGACAAAGGAAAAATCAACATGATACCTGAATTTTGACAGCATGTTTCGTATTCGTCTGCACAGCTGTTATTCCCAAGCGCTTGTACACGGGTGTCACACGTCTGTATAAGCGGTTCTTGGCCCAGTTGGCAACAGGTGGCTTGAAACGAAGTATAAGAAATACCATGTTAGATCGCAAAATCTCCGCAATTATTTGATGATTTATCTATACATGTATACGTGTTAATTTTTATACATTGCTACCTTATTACGAAATGGACAACAGAAGTTATATTATTTTAAAAAACATGATCTTTGACTTAGAATAAGTAAAAAGTAGCTCTTTATAAACTAGGACCTACATAACATAGATACACATGTACGTTGTTTAGATTTAAATACAATGCAGTAGATTTAATTTGTGTATGATTCATAGATCTGTTTCATTTTGCACTCTGTCTTATTTACAGTATTACACATTTTGTTGACAAAAAAATAATAAAAAGCGAAAGAAATGAAATTGGACTTTACGAGCTGTTGTCAAATGATTATCGGCTACTGCAACATAAACAAGGAGGAGCAATGACCACATCTTCAGCGTGTTGTTTCTCATTTTAGCGCCGTGAATCCAAGAGTCCTAGAACAAAATGAACACGAACGTTTATATCCACCGGTTTAAATATTGTTTATTTCTCCTCATTAACCCAATCGAAAGGATGATTAAAAGACAAGCACAAATATAGTGCTCGAAATTTGGCCGATAGCGGCCGCTTTTACTGACAGGTCCCTCTAGTAGAAAATGGTGTTAGTTAATTTATAGCATTAGATAATGTTTACTTAATTAAAATTACGTAATATTATATCATAAAAATAAATATCAAAACAAATAGTGCACATATTTTCATTTGTGGGGTTGCAAAGAGGCCAACAATGGCAACCAGAAAGAGAGTGAAAAATTCAAACCAAAATAATGCAATTGCAAGCCAAAATATATGTATGTTAATATGCGTGTATATATATACAAACAGAAGCCAAAAAACAAAAATATTTTACATAATGAAGGAATGAATTAAAGAATGAAATGAAAAGTTTACTTCAACACTTAAATATATCTTGACAATGTATATGTCGACACTAGTCGTGCTTTAGGCCCCGGCCTACTCTCAAATCAGTACGATTGCACATGCATGCAAAGTGTGTGCTCATAAGAGACCATTTGGGCCTGACATATACTGATCTTGTAAATCTGTGGATCATGTGGACCATGCGATAAATATCTAGACACCAGCGTAGAACAAAGAGCTTGTCTAAGTATCTCAATACACAGTTAACTTGTGCATCAACGCACTTTGACGCCTACCTTTCTGTTGCTTGTTATTCTCACTGCACTTCGTCTGGCTGTTATGAAGTTTGTGTATTTGGAATCCGGTTCTGATCAGCTTACCTGTTGTCAATAGATGCACGATTCGTGATGGTGATTGCTTATTTAAATAAATATGCACCGCCTTGGCACTTTTGCTATAGGGGGAACAGGGCGTCACCGAAACACGAATTTTCTTTCCTAATACACTGTATTTTCTTTCCTAAGTGCACACAAAACTAAGATGATGTATTCAATTTTATTTTCTCTGGATCGCTATTGTTCTTAAAAATATTAAGGGGGAATATGTTGAAATGAACTCAACCGTACACGGCTATACTTCCTGCACTAATGCTGTACTAGTGAGCCCTTTTGATGATATGGACCATAGATGGCGCTGCTGGTACATTTTAGCACGCCCTCGTTGCAACCGACTAAAGTCTCATTCCATGCAGCATTATTTGCCTCTTTTTTGTAATAAGAAAGTATGCACTTTCATCCCAAAGTGAATTATTGTTGAAATAGTTGCAAATTCTAAATGATTCTGCAATATTTAATTGGTTCTGGCTATTGCTTTTCGGAAATGGACTTATCTTTTAAAAACACTCGTGAAGTGTGATGTGTAGTGTGATTTCTTAGTAAATACCCGTTATAATCTTTAAATATAATAATACTCAGAGAACAATACAGATATAGAATGTCCTCTCTCCTTCTACACCTACTCTTGATAGAATCTTTTATCGTCCGTTTGGAGTTGCTGTTTGCCTTAAACTTTCCGTTTTCAATATACCGTAAACATAAACAGAATGATTCAATACAATTTTCTGACATTCCATTCTAGCTATATGATAACCGTTTCATACATGCCAAGTAAAGTCCGTTCTTTTATTTATTTATTACAATTTGAATTATTAACAACGATTTTTACATAACTGAGGGATGGCGCCGTGGTCAGAGAATTAGTCCATGACCAGTAGGTCCGATGATAACTGCTGGTATATGTGTATATGTCTGTTTATTATTTATGATTTAAATATCTGTTCTTTCGAGCCATGAATATTTCATGCTATATTTTATATAACTTTGAATTTTTATATAACTTCGTGTCTTACGTAACAAAACCCTGGTGGAGAAATACGCTTTTACTTGACTCTCGTCTACAGAAGAATTCTTGTATAAAAGGTTTTCATAACACCCACAGCAAGAGAGAGAGAGAGAGGGTTTGAGAGTAAGGAACACACACACACACTTTGAATAGAAACACGACGGAAAATTTAAATGCTTGACATTACAGACTTTTTTGGTTGACTTAAGTTTAGAATTCGGAGCGCATTGCATTCGTCCACTCAATATTTTATTAATTACTTGCCCCCGTTCCAGCCAGCGTCACTTTATAATAGGGACGTGCGTGTCTCTTGCAGTGGAGAAAATGAAATGTTTGAACTCTTGGATTCACCCTTTTTAATACCTTTAAAATTATCTGAACAAACATGTACCGTATATGCACCGACTTCGACAGTTTTCACAAAGCGTTTACCTTTGTATTTACCTTTATATTTAGAAACAATGTTTACGCTTCGGAAGGGGAACAAATCCGTCGATTAATGCTCAACAGGAAACTGGAGTCGTATTCTCTGTGATGCAGAGTTGAGCAGAATGAATGGTTACACGTGCATTTATACTTCACTGAAATTTAGAGGTCAAATATACCCCAAGAATGAATTATGCATTTTGCCTATAAGTACTAGTACATGTATGACCCAATGGCAAAACAGATAAAAACACCACTGGCTAAATATATCTAAAAACACTTTTAGCAAGGATGCATATTAGACCATTTTAAGACGGTTATCCAATATTTGAATGCTCTCTGATCGAAATACTACTCTATATACTCTTCCTGTGCATTATAATATATTGGTGATTATATTTATTTAAAAATGTGTACGTTGTTTATTAACGTTTTTTCTCTTGTAAGAACCATACTACGGTTATTGAAAAAACTATTTCTTAAATGTTATATAGTTGATCATGATTCCCTGAGATAATGTCAAAAACAAGATAAGATGGGTGATTCACAATGTTTAAACTGATTAAATTTGAAAGATGCACAAACAGGCAAAGAGACTAAGAGCTCTACTACAGACGTTTTATTAATAAACCATAAACTATATACAGTTACCTTTTTTTTTAGATGCTCCATCTTTCATCTTTACTTACCCCCCCCCCCCAAAAAAAAGAATTTAAACAATCATGTGTGCCACAAGGTTCCTCCCCAACTCCAACCCTCCTCCTAACCCTCCTATCTGGATCCTCCCCAGGAACTGAATGGAGAATCGGTCACCTTAAACTCTTCTTTGTACGGCTGCACTCTTATCTTATTCATCAAGTGATCAGAGCGGGGCATTAAGAGACGATTCATTTGCTTCACATGAAAATGAGAGATTCTGCGAAGTTTAAACAGTAGACTTTTAACTTTTAAAGGCAGTAAACGCTTTTTAATCAGCTTTTATCCAAGTGCAGTGACGCATTTTAATTTGATCTCAAAACCAAATTCTTAATTTATTAATTGTATTATTTTACTATTTATATTATCAAACTTGCTCCAGAAGGAAAATGATTGCCGATTTTTATAATTGGCTAAATAAACTCTTATCTTATCTTATCTTAACCGCCAGTTTTAAAATCAGCGTCTTACACCCAAATATTCCGAACAGTCTTTATGTGACGTCACGCGCAATCGACCAAAGGGTTTACTTCCCAGTATGACGTAGTAAAGAACCTGCAAACACTTAAACTTTGAGTCCAAACAGTTTCCATAAACTCACGCCCAGAACAAAGTCCACTATTTCAGCAGCTGTCATCAAGGTGCTCCCCAGCACGAGACCCAACGCTCCCCCGATATCTGCGAAGAGGGTCAGAGCGCTGTACGCCTCCTGTTGCACCACCTCCTCGACGCTGATGTCAGAATAGAAAATATTAAGAGCAATCAGGTTTTCCGCGTAAAACGATGCAGGTACGTTGTACTGCGCCACCATTGTGTTCATAAACAGTACTGATAATTTACTATGGGAGATAGAGGTTTCGTAATGAGTTCTTCTACAGGCCTCAGTGCAGCCGCAATTGCGTGCTTTGATTTCTGCGGTTGAATTCACGGCGTCACACTCCCTAAGATCCCTGGGGTTACAGACACGAACATCACTGACGTCAGCAAAGTGATGCATTCGGCACCCACATTTCTCAATTGTGCGGTTAATGCTGTAAAACAAAATCAATGAAGAATTAATCGAACTACAATTCCATGTTAAGGTCAATTTAACATCTCTTATCCCGTAAATGGAATAATTCACTCTGTAAAGTTGAGATGATAATGTATAAATTAAAGAGTCACAAAAACTAAGGAAAGGTGCGGTTAATGTTGCTGTTGTTGAGATTTGATAACCAAATGTGTCAGAAATAGTGACATGATCTTTAACATGATTTAGCAACGTTATCATTCAATTTCATGTATAGATTTCTCTTCAGTATTTCCAACCCGTCGCATAAATAACAAGCATTGGTATTCTTACTTTTTTTATCATTGGTATTATATCTAAAGTAACACAATGGGCGTTAGACCTTTACAATAGCTATAAGTGAAAATTTTAAAAATTATTACAAAATAAAGACGTAAATCATAGTCTGCAATGTTTAAAGAGAAAAAGAGGCCGAGTTTATAGAAATGTTTTAATAATCTACTTACCCGCATTCAGCTTCACAATTAAGTTTGGTATATTTGGGAAAATATTTTAGTGATTTGTCTTGACACTGGCCATGTGGGGGAGGGAGGTTCGACACCTATATAATATAATATAATATAATATAATATAATATAATATAATATAATATAATGTAGTTCTTCGTGAACTACGAGAAAAGAGACCCAGTGTAAGGAAATAAAACCGTGGCAAAGCTGTGTCTTATTCCCTCTCGCTGGCCCCTATTCTTTGTAGTTCATACATATACCTGTCAAGAATATACAGTCATTCGAGGGGGGAGGGACAACGTAAGTACTAATTCTGATGTGCATGGCATCCTTCTGTAGACTTAAACTCACACAGACTCCTAAAACCCATAAACACGACAGTATCAAGCTGACGTGCTTGCTATGCACGCCCCGTAACTCAGACCGTACCTCGTAGTGTGCGTGGACCCAAGGAAAACGTACCTTAAATTGCTTCATGGCGACGTTGACACTTTCTCCAGGCGCTATCTGCAGTCCCAGACGAGACAGTTGCGGCACTTCGCCCCGGTCGTGAAGCAAAATCTGGTAATTGCACAATATTTGAATTTATAAACAAATTAAACGTATTGGACTACTTGGCACAAAACACCACTATACTGACAAACTGGAAAATATCCGCAGGGGCACATTTTTCTAGGAAGACGATAGAATAAAAATGTTTACGGGCACATATTCGTGAAGTAATGTTTCGAGCTAGCGAACATCAAAAGTGAACGGTTCCAAGGTTAATGTCAGGGAATCATTTAGGGACAGTGTACATGAGTTGCTCTTCGCGGGAGGACATGGGGTAAATAATTTTAAGAAAAAGTAAATGGACGAGGGTAGATCTTGTCATTCATGTGTTGTCATGGCAACTAGACTTACTGTGAATCCAGCAGTGACAGTGAAAGGAACGTATTGGTACTGATTGGCGAGAAGAAACGTTGTTAAACCATGGTGGATTCCTTCTCCGTCAACCATCTTCAATTCACCCTCTAAAAGTGATAAGAACAACACAAAATGGCAATTAATATTTTTTCTTCAGGAAGAACAGAACACTGTAAAATAAAATTGAGAAACTTTTAAGGTAAAACAAAGAAAAGGTATTAAAACAAAGAAGAAGGAAATAACAGTAAATTCCATTGCTACTTAAAAAGATAGCAAGCCACTGATACCTCTTTTTCAAATAGCTCTGTATATGCACGCATCTTTATCAGAAATAATTTTAATAGAACCTTCGATCTGAAGTTAAAATGGTGATCAAATATCAACGACAAAGCTGTTTATTTTGAAAAATGTTGAAATAACTGATTAAATCAACACTAATTATAACGAAAAAACCTGAAGTTGTAAAACATTCTACTCTCGCGGACCTACCTCCGTTAAACTGGAGACAGGTCCCCATTTCAGTTTCGACCAGAGACAGGTTAGATAAACACGGTTCGCTATTGAACGTACAATACTGAAAGGAAACCGAAGCTTCGTGAGAGGTTAGGGGCCTAGTGCAGTCGAGTACGGGGCCATGGAATCGAGACACTTGCTTACGTGAGCACGAGCGCAACATAGCGAACCTTTCGAGATACGGAACCCTGTTCACCTTCACCTGAACAGGTAATTCAGTTGTGACCAAGTCTGTCAGAGTGAACAGACGAAACAGTCAACAGGTAAATCAAATTTCAGGATCTAGCATAAATGAAACCTTTCTGACTATCAAAACTAAGATCCAATGAAACTATTTTCACACAGGAATTGTATTTCTTGCATACCATGAATGGTCCTTAGAACATGTTTTTACCTCTGTTTAAAACCAAGCGTGTATTTAATATAGTATTTCGTTTTCAAATAAACATTAAACTCACCGATGGTGCAATGTCCACCATTGTGTATTGGTTATTAATGTAAAACGCTGTCCAGTTGTATGCGTCCATGTCGTACCCAGTGAAATTGGGCGTCACCGCATAGTCGAAGAAACTTGCCAGGTTGTATTGACCGTTCTGAGAAAGTTTTGCAACGTTGAATCTGTTGTTATTGCAGATAGTAAGCGTGGGGAACGGAATAGTGTCGTTATAGTTAAACCTCACGTCCACTGAGGCTGGGTTCTCTAGGTAATAGGCAATCCGGTTCCAGAGATGGAAAACTAAGAATGCTGACCCTGTTAAAACAAAAGCTAACCAAATGAGACGTCGGGCAGGCGAGTATTTGGTATTCACAATTTGCTTCATCCCAAGTATGCTAACGTTGTTGGCAAAATCAACCATCTCTTCTTTCAAAGTTGGGACTACTTCGTCTTTGTGCTTTTCCGGGCCATTGGTCCAGCCGTGCTCCTTTTGTGTATCTCCAATGCTTTGTTTGTTAAAGGCTGGTTTTGTCTCCGGGTAATCGAGTGAGAAAGGGTGGACAGCAGACATTCTGATTACCTTTGCAACCCTGTTTGCGCCGGTTCTGCAAAAAAGCATACCCCGGTGAGTTTTATGGTAGAAGTCGTAAAAATGCAACATTTATCCACCAATATGCATTCATGGACCCTTAATCTCTGCTTAATGAAAGACCTAGATCGAACTATTGAGCCAAAAGCAACTCAGAAAATGTCCTGGGTAAATTAGCTAAAAATACACTTTAAATCCGACCCTAACGACAACACCACAAATGCAAGCGATTCAGAATCTGTATCAAGTTTCAATTTCTCGTCGTCCGTAAAACTTGTACTTAATCATGGCAGCTGTAAGGGGTAGACCGTTTCATGTGATATAGGCCTTTACCAAATTTCAAACAAAGCTGTTCATGTAATGTAAATCAATTATTTCCTCCTCTCTGAAATTATCTGTCTACTACATTAGTTTATGACTGATTATATTCCCATCTTGCCCTAACAAAATCTGACGTCAGTTGTCTTTTCAACGTACTCTAGGTATTGATTCAATCAGTTTTGAAAATCCTTTTTATACCTAATCTGTATGATATGTTTTTTCTCAAAAAAAGGAAACACTGATTTTAATATTTGAAATCCAGGAGAAGCCCTTTGTAAAAAAGGGGGTAAACATATGATTCCCGGTGTAATACAGCACGTCACGGCGCTGTGGACCTATCTCTTCCTACATGTAGGAATCTACACCAAAATCATCACTTATCTAATGATTGAGACACAACTGTAACCTTCCAAATTTAGAATTTTTAATTTTTTTAAAACAGTTTATTTTACCTTATTTCTTGTACCTCTCTCTACTGCTAACGCTGAGTATAATAACTGCCGCACACCATGTATAAAGGTAAAACCATTAAGTTGTCGACCCAGCATTTAAACTATATTGATTTATTGACGATTATAATGTGTAAAACATTTACAAAATCGACCTCTCTCTGTGTCAATAAGATGACAGTCGCAAATGTAGTGCACTGTTAAATGGTAAGAAACAAGATGATGGTCGGCTTGTCAAGTACGTTGAGCCTACGCTTTATTGAGATTTCTTGTAATGTTAGTAATTGACAGCCACGAATGAATGAGGAGCGGAGAGTGTTGTAGAGTAACTTGAGTTGATCGACATGCTCTTATAATATTTATACCACTCCGCGTTATGTGAACAGAGAGAGAAGGTCGCTAGAGATTGCATGAGGTACAAATAGAAATGAAGAAAGCGGCGCGGGTAACAACTGGAATGTAGTTAAATAAATAATAAGAAAGATTATAGCTGAGTTGTATTTGCTACTTCGCGTATCAAAAGATGTAGTCAACAACTTCGAATTCGTCACACACCCTAGATGCCCTCGAAAATTCAACGGTAATTAACGTAGTCAAAATGTGGAACCCATTACTTATGCAGGCCACTTTCCATTAGTCATTATGTAAAAATAAATCGAGACGATTGAATTTATGACGTTCATTGGATTACATAAAAGTTTCCTCGAGGATTTGCTGGGGGTGGGGTAATGCAGCGGACCCCTAACGTGGATATAAAGTCCCTTTAATACACGACTTCTTCTTGATAGATGTGATGCATTTAAAAATAAGAATGCGAATGGTTTTTGAGACTCGGTGGTGAGAAACTGTGAAAGAACATCCTTGCGGGACTACATTTTGCACTATATACATGCATATGCATACATCGTACATTTATAACCTATTTTTCAATTGAGTTTACGTTGAAGGTTTTAATTCTGTGGGACGTCTTCTCTAAGTCATTCAATCTACCTCAGCATAAAAAAAATGTAAAGGCATTTATCAGGGGCGGATTGAGGCCGTCTTCTGGGTCTTCCAGAAGACGGCCAGGTTTTCAATTTTAGATTGACGGGTTTCTAAATTTTTCTGTCGGAAGACGGTCAGAAAAGGAGAATGGATCAACAAAGATAATTTGGAACACTTTCAGAAAATACATGTATCTCTGGATCTGCCCCTGTTTATTTGATATGGAAAACAGCGTCAGAGCAAAGGTAGAAGTAGCAAAAAGAATATAAGTGTAAACTAACACGGATGGATGAAAAGCACTATCCGCTTTTGAAAAAAAAACTACAAAAAATAACAAACCTCTAGGCCTAACACGTATTGGGAAATTGCATATCTTACTTCCTCGATGTTATAATGAAATGAGTATATAATTATTTACTGCTAGGATTTAACCACCATTATGTAATAAATTCACTGGATTTGTTTTAAGAAATGACCGCCATTTAGTCCTATCGACTTGTCTTCAAAGTGACCATTAATTTGTTTACTTACAGCGACGACTAAATAACGTGAGTAGAGCAATTAATGTTCACACACTATAAATAAACTAGGCTTAACGGCACCAAGATATAAATATCAATAGTTTCCTTCCCATAGAACACGACAATCCCTAATCCAGGTGTGGCAATATCGAGGAAAACCTGCAAGGGCGCATATGCAGCGATGTGCCTTGGTCATCTAATTAGTACCGATAGCCCCGTCTTCCTGACGACTGCAACTGTTTCACATCAATTCTTAATTCCTGTTGATTTCTTTCCACACTGTTAGTTATAATACAAAAGACAGCAAAAATAATGGGGCAAGTCAGAATTATGAAAGTATTGAACAATATGTGAACGCCAGGGTCACTTTTTGTGAAATGACACTTAAATCGATGTCATCATTTTGAGCCTATATCCGTCCAGGTTGGAACATTAATTGTTCCGGACGTGACGTCTGGATGCTTCCCTCATTTCCGCCCTCCCCATTCCCATTCTTTAGGAGTGCTGGATTAGGTCAATTCATTCCCGTTTAAACACACAATTAGTAGCCAAGTAAACAGAGATCTATGCATTAATATGGTCGATAGAGTAAAAACTTAAGTGCGATATCTCATTTCATTTTAACTTCATCGTCGAAGTGTCCGAGGTTGCTAGGTAAGTGTATGCGTATGTCTTCGGATCCGGAATGATGCAAATTTATTTTATAATAACGTAAAGTGCACTGGAATTGTGACTCTTATACAACTTTACACACAAATGACAACCTGTCGTACTGGTTCATTTTTATTGACGAACACGGTACACAAAATTACTGCAAAACTATGCAAAATATTAGTTTATTTTGTTCATTTAAAGTTTGATGAAATTACATGTCACTAAGTCAAAGAATGCAAGTACATGTCAAATGGTACGACTAATATTTTAATAGAAAAAAGTAAAAGTATAAGAAAGCAACAAAAAGGTATTAAAAAGTTATCATTCTATCACAGTGAGATCATCTGTATAAATAGCACTTGTAAATCTAGGTCAATTATTAAACCATTTCCTTATAAAGCAATTGCAATACTTTGATTGATATATTATAACGGAGAGTTATGGGGGAAAAGTGACTAATTTTAGATATAACGCGACAGTACAAAACATTTTTAAACTCAGGTAAGAGGATGGTAATATATATGGATAGATTCGGATAGAATATTACAGAAAATCCAGAAAATCTGTGTGATGATTCATCGTATTGTAATGTGATGGTTAAGTTGCAACCAACAATTATAAATGTAAAATACACAAAAAATGCTCATTAAAAAGAAATTACATTACTGTCTTAGGCATAAAAGAGACTGATGGAAGAAAAGGTAAAACAACAATCTATTGAAATGTCAAAAACCATGTTTAACAATTCGAAACAAAGGAGTAAGATTTCAATATCCATTTCGTGCAATTACGTGGTTTCTCTTTGTAGGTTGCAACCAAGAAGAAAATGTCTGGCGTATATCCATTTTTTGTTGAAGAAAAAGGAACAGAATTTATAAAACAGAACAACAATTTTCGTGCCGACTTAAGAGACAAGTCACACCATTCTGGCACCAACATTACCAAGCGTAAGCCAAACCAGCATAAGGATGAAACCATCCCAAATATAAAGGATGAGATATCTGAATTTGCCAATAACGTTAGCATTCTCGGAATGAAGCAGGTGGCAAATCCTAAATTCTCACCTGTCAGGCGATTAATCTGGCTAGCGTTCGTTTTATGTGGGTCAGGTTTCTTAATTTTCCATCTTTGGAACCGCATTTCCTATTTCCTCGAGAACCCAGCGTCGGTGGATATAAAATTTCATCACAACGACTCAATTCACTTCCCCACAGTAACCATCTGCAACAACAATATGTTTAAGCTGCCGTATCTCAAAGCGAACGGACATCTTGAACAGGCAAACTACTTTGATATTGTCTTCAATCACCCAAACTTTACTAATATCGAGCAATACAACTGGACAGATTTCCACACCAGAAACCAATACAAAATGGCGGATCTTATGCCGGCAGTAAGTAGAAATGCATGTGTACATTATTCTAAAATTGTACAATACCCTGTTGCATATTGTAATGTAATTAACATATCTCCCATAATGCATTGTTCTCTCTCTACCAGTTAGCCAGCATGGCTGGATGTGTTATGTAATAAATGAGTTATTAAAAAATGTTAACTTGAGTTACATAACAACAGAAAAACTACGACATGGTGTCAGAATCGGGATCTACATTGGATGTAGCATAATTTGGAGATCGGATGACCCACAAACTACAAGATAAAAACGGATTTAGAATCACTAAAAAAAAAA